TTTTTTTTTTGCTTGTTTTGTTTTTTGTACCAGCTCAGTAGATCGCTTGCTAAATGTCATCTGACTGTCAGTTTCATCAGATGTCTGTATTTTTGTTACATTTCCTTGTGATTTGATCTCTGATAACGCCTAGATAATCCTGAGTGGAAATGTTCATTCTCTTTAATTTTTCCTCAAATGTATCAACTCCTTGTTCCCCTATCACTGGTCTTTGTCATTTTTTTTGAAACAATTTTTATTTTTAATCTATCTTATCTTCTTTCTCCTAATTAATTACATTGAAAAATACAAAGTAAAAGCAGGACAGGATGATAAAAAAATACATAAACCTTTGGTCCATCCTTTGTGAAATGAGAATCCATGCTCATTCTTTTCATCTTTTGGATCATTAGCTGTCTAATTCAGAAGCCCTGTGTTTCAGAGCAGGGTGGTTTGGTCAGTCCTAGAAGATCTATTTATTTAATTTAAAAAATAATCCATGATGGGTAATTCAAATATATATTTACTGTGACACCTTACCCCCCAAAGTAATACAAAGCTAGTGTTTTAAACATAGTACTCTATAAGTCAAACCAATTTCTCTGTGCATACTTACAGGCAAAGTAGCTCATGGGTACTAATCTGATTTCCTTTCTCTATAGATCATGTGACAATGCAAATAAGAATAGCCCTTTTATCTTTTTTGTTCCCTATTTAAAGTTAATTGGACTATGTTTTAAATTATTTCTCTGATGAATGGCTGAAAACTTAATTTGGAGGGACTTTTTGCAGAATCATGTACGTGAAAGCAAGTGATTTTTTTTTTTAATTTGAATCCCAGTTAGTTAACATATAGTATAATAATGATTTCAGGAGTAGAATTTAGTGATTCATCACTTACATATAACACCCAGTGCTCATCCGGCAAGTGCCCTCATTAATGCCCATCATCCATTTAACCCATCCCCCCACCCAAAACCCTGCCAGCAACCCTCAGTTTGTTCTCTGTATTTAAGCGTCTCTTATGGTTGACAAGTGATTTTCTTTTTTTTTAAAGAACTATTATCTAGCTGCTGACTATACCTCCTGAAGCATTTAGATGTTCCTAAACTACATTATTAATTCTGATTGCTTTCCTCCTAACAGTATTGGGAGAATTTTCATAACCTTTTCTTTCCCTTTCCTTCCTTCCTTCCTTCCTTCCTTCCTTCCTTCCTTCCTTCCTTCCTTCCCCATAATCTTTTCTGATTGAGAACCAGTGGAGTTAGACAGATCTGGGTTTGAATTCTGCCTCTTGCCATTCCCTGCCTCTGTGTGGCTGCATAAAATAATCCATGTCTCTGATTCCTTTTCTATAATAAGTTGAAAGTGTTACTGCTGACTTTGTAGGATTGTTGTGAGGAGTAAATAACATATGAAAACTGCTGTATGCACAGTGCCTAGCAAAAACAAACCTTTAAATGTTAGCTTTTATTATAGACTGGGAGTTGGTAACCTTTTTCTATAAAGGGCCAGATAGTAGATATTTTACACTTTGAGGACCATCAGTCTCTATCTAATTACTCCATGTACCTTTACAGTGTGAAAGCATCTACAAGGCAGTATGTAAACAGATGGGCATGGCTATGTTCTGATAAAACTGCTTATAAACAGACATGGGCTATAGTTTGTTGATTCTTTATATACTAAGAGATGAAGCAAGGTGTGAAAATACTAAGAACTCAGTATAGCTCTTCTGTGAAATGGATTATCAAAAGAATTTAGGTTGATTTAAAACTTCAGTTTACAATCACAGGCATTACATTTCAAAAAAATTTTTTAACATTTATACATTTTTGAGATACAGAGAGAGACAAAGTGCAAGCAGGGGTGAGGCAGAGAGAGGGAGACACAGAATCTGAAGCAGGCTTCAGGCTCTGAGCTGTCAGCACAGAGCCCGACACAGGGCTCGAACTCATGAACCCCACGAGATCATGAGCTAAGTCAGATGCTTAACTGACTGAGCCACCCAGGTGCCCCCAGACATTATATTTCAAAATATCAGTGTTAAAATAGGTTCTGCTCTGTTAATATATTTTATATTAAAAATTTCAGCTGCCAGGAACCATCAAAAATAAACATTTCTAGATCCATAAAAGCACTTTAGTGGAGAGCATTCTAAAATATATTCTTCTTGCCTTCTTAAAAACAGTATATGAGGTGCACCTGGGTGGCTCAGTTGGTTAAGCGTCCAACTCTTGGTTTCAGCTCGTGGTTTGTGGGACTGAACTTAAAGTGTTTCTCTTCTGATTATTTTACCTGTTTATTTCCCACTTCCCCATATTCTTGATAAGACAGTGAATGTTGATAGGACAGAGAATGAGGTTAGGCCAGGTACTGGAAAGGGGCAAGTTCAGTGGTGATTCTAGTTGAAAGAGGTTGACTCAAAAAGCTATGTTTGCATAATAAGCACTATAGTTTTGCTTAAATGACATGTTTATTTGGAGTAACTTATAGTGAAGAGGCTAAAGGTCCCCAAGCTATTCTTTGTACCATTATGCAGGATTAGGGGGTCATATACACCCCTCCATCCCCCCCCACACACCCTCAATTCTTAAACTCTTTGGGGGTGCCTGGGTGGCTCAGTCAGTTAACTGTCCAGTTTTGGCTCAGGTCATGATTTCACTGTTCACAAGTTCGAGCCCCACATCAGGCTCTGTGCTGACATCTCAGAGCCTGGAGCCTGCTTTGGATTCTGTGTCTCCTTTTCTCTCAGCCCCTCCCCTGCTCAAGCTCTCTCTCAGAAAATAATAAACATTAAAAAAAAATTCTTCTGGAGTGGCCTTTTCACTTTCTCTCCTATTTTGCTATTTCTCTCCTATCATCTGTTGACAATTATGACTCTAAGATTATATTTTTTAGCCTGGATGTCTTTTTAGGTATGTATAGTGAAGCTCTCTAATGGGGTAATAGTACCTGCCTCAGAGTGTTGTGAGAATGCCATAAAGTGCTCAGAAAACTTTAGCTACTATTGTTATCAGATAACCATATTCCAAATTTCCTTTTTTAGAAACTGAGTCAGCAGTACAAAAAGAACATAGAAACCAGACACCTGCTCCATCCGCAGCTCAAACTTCTGCTCCTTCTAAGTACCACCGAACTCGATCTGGGGGAGCCAGGGATGAACGATACCGATCAGGTGAGAAAGAACTGAAATTTACCAGCAGAATAGTTTTTAGTGACTGTAGTATGAACTCTGTATCCTGAAAGCTTTTAATGTTTGTTTGTTTGTTTCCCTTGAAGGGCCAAGCAAGTCTATATTAATTCATTCATCAGTCATTATCTATTATGTGCCAGGTGTGATAGATACTCAATATTTGTTGGGGCTACAGCCCCAAATATGACGTTTCTGCACTCAAGGTCAGAAGGGGAGCCAGACAAGTACAAAGGCAACATGAGTACATAAATAAGAAAGTAGAGGGCTAGGGTCACATGAGGTGGTACTGAGAGAGCTCAGTGGACTCTGTTGGAAGTGGCCTCTGTGTTTGCCGGAGCTATGGATCAGTCTTTTTACTAATGGAACTGGAACAGAAACTCACAATGAAATTTCAAATTAGTAAACTCTTAAACCTTATTTCTTCTGACCCAAAAGGTACCCATGAGATGGGAAAAGGCAACATGCTGTGGCCGGCAGTGGGAACATGCCCCTGCAATATCATGGCCAGGACCGATGAGCAGAGAAACAAATCATAAGACACTCAGGAGGACCGGTGGCATGGCAAGCCCGTCCCATGCCCACCTACTGTCCACTGTGCTAAGACAATCTCTGCAACACATTTACTGTCTTCAGAAGTAACAGAATTGGGGTGCCTGGGTGGCTTAGTTCAGCATCCAACTTCAGTTCAGGTCATGATTCACGGCTCACGAGTTCGAGCACCACATTGGGCTCTGCACTCACAGCCTGGAGTCTGCTTCAGATTCTGTGTCTCCCTCTCTCTCTCTGCCTTTTCCCTGCTCATGCTCTGTCTCTCTCTCAAAAATAAATAGACACTTAAAAAAAAATTTTTTTAAAGAAGTAGTGGAATTAAGTCACCAAACTAATTCAGTGTTCTTTTACTTTCTTCAGATTTTTGACTCCTGTACCAGCTAACCTTTTAACCTTTTCTTGAATTAGAAAACAGGGTGAGGGGCACCTGGGTGGCTCAGTCAGTTAAGTGTCCAACTCTTGATTTCGGCTCACGTCATGATCCCAGGGTTGGTCGTGGATCAAGCCCCTCATTGTCTTCAGTGTGGAGCCTGCCTGGGATCCTCTGTCTCTCTCCTTCTGCCCTGTCCCCCACTCGTGAGCATGCATGCTCTCTCTCAAAAATAAATAAATTAAGAAATTAAAAAAAAGCAGGGTGTATATCATATCCTTTCAGAAACTGATTTAGAGAAAATAAGGAAAAGGACATGGTTGCCGACCTGTGTCAGACATTTTGGGAGCTGATTTTATTAGATAGCTATTTTTATACACTGAAAGGAAGGAATGAGAAGTGTTACATAAAAAAAAAAAATAAAAGTAGAGGTTAGGGGCCCCTGGGTGGCTCAGCCGGTTGAGCATCCGACTCTTGATATCAGCTCAGGTCATGATCCCAGGGTTGTGGGATCAAGCCCCACGTTAGGCTACTCACTGAGCTTGGAGGCTGCTTGGAATTCTCTCCCTTCCTCTGCCCCTCTCCCCTGCTCAAGAGCACCCTCTCTCCCTCTCTCTTAAGAAAAAAAAGAGGTTACATGCCACCCCAGAATTTCCCCTTATACCTAACCTGGTCTTGATCGATCAGAGGAGGCTTTCTCAGAGAGTGAGACATCTTAACTGTGTCACAGCAGACAGACTGAGGGAAATAGCATCAGATAGTAGACCTGAAAGGAGTTCATTATGGAACGTAGAATGCAAGAACCCGGAAGTAGGTGGGAGATGAGGCTAGAAAGATGACCAGGGATGAGATCTTAAGGAATCTTGAATACCATTAGAAGGTTTCAGCGGAGCGGTTACATTTGTATTTGTTCTAGTAGTTTGCTCCATCTACAGACCATGTGCTCTGCCATTACTGTATCCCAGTGCCTGGCACAGGGCCAAACATACATAAGAGCTAAATAGATATTTTGGAGAAAAGAAAGAATAAAAGTAGTTGTTCGTTAAAGAGTGGATTAGAGGGAGGTACAACGGGATATAGAAAAACATCTCGGGAGCTCCTCTTTGTTGCCAGGACCCAAGCCTGATTTCCTGGGCACTTTTGACTCTGGGGCCCCGGTTCAGCAGCAGTGGGTTCTGACCAGTCCAGAAGGGTTTCGGCCTCTAAACTCTCATCTCTGGACTTCTGAGAGTTTTGTGGGGGTTCCCCCCCTTGTTTGTTTGTTTTTACAGCATATAATAAAAGAATGAGTAAGGAACCAGAAAGATGATTCTCTACATCCTATATCCAGGCTGATCACATACAGAGAAAGGCTATAGTGACCTTTACTGTAACATTTTGACCTCAATCAACTAAAACCTAACTGTGATCTCTAGCCCCTTGCTCTCTTGTACCAATTCTTTCAGATTTACCCCAAATGTGGGAAAGCGTAGTCTGTGAACCAAATGTCGGTTAGCCGACTGTGTCTCTTAGTTTGGTGCAGAGATCTTGAAGAGGGTTTAAGAGTAAGTTTGGGATATTTGTCTCACAGGGACTTTTTTTTTAAGGTAGTAGCAAGAAGACCAGAGAAGAGGTAAAATAGGGAAGAAAAGGCCATTTAAAACCCTGAAGATATTGAAAGATATGAGAGTACCAGAGTACTATCATGAGGGGAACATGAAAGTGGAGGCATGCAAGCATGGATTTTGGGTAAAAAACACATTTTTCAGTACATTAGGAATTAACTAAATTGCAAAGGAAAACTCAGCAAATTGTGGCTTCTTTTTTTTTTTTAATTTTTTTTTTTTTAATGTTTATTTATTTTTGAGACAGGGAGAGACAGAGCATGAACGGGGGAGGGTCAGAGAGAGAGGGAGACAGAATCTGAAACAGGCTCCAGGCTCTGAGCTGTCAGCACAGAGCCCGATGCGGGGCTCGAACTCACGGACCGCGAGATCATGACCTGAGCTGAAGTCGGATGCTTAACCGACTGAGCCACCCAGGCGCCCCAGCAAATTGCGGCTTCTAATGAATAAGAAGGAATCAACAGCAGCAGCAGAAGTAGAGCAAATAAGTTGTAGAAATTGTTGGGAGTCGAACTTCACCTCTTTGTCACTCCATCTTTAGGAACGGTTACGTTTACATGTCACATGCAAAAGTGGCATAAGAATGGAGGGTGTGTTTAGTAAAATGACAAGCATCACAGTAAACTGAGAGGTACACCCAAAGGATTTAATGGTGTTATTAAGTGTAACTAGAAAATCCTTTCTTATTTGGTGGAGGCTTATTAATACCTATGACATTTCAACTAATGTTAATCAAATCTAAGTAGACTTAGTATTTCATGTTGCAGACATGGTATAAAGAGCTTATATTTATTCACAGTCAGATATGATCCGATTCTATTCTTTGTGCTTAGCCAAGAGGTTCTGACATTTCCAATACATTTACTAGTACCTTTTTTTCCTGCACATCAAGGCATGATACAATTTCTACACGTGTGTTATGGTTACAAGTGTAGAAAATACACAGTTGATGCCTGAGATGGAAAGTGATAGTATGATAAGTAATTCTGACAACTCCTTTAAAGCTCGGTTTTTGAGTAATTAGCTACCTCAAACAAAACAACAACAAAAAAGGACTTTAGAGTATTTGTATCGCCTTTTCAGCTCAAATGTTAGTGCTGGAAAATGATACCCAGCTTTCACATGTGCTTCTGGCAGAGATATCCAAAGTCAGCTGTGTCTGGGGACTGAACTTCGGAAGTGACTTCTTATCAAAGATCAAGATGAATTGTATGGTGGTAAATGAGTCAAATCCAGTTAAAAGAGTTGCCTGTTCTTATCAATAAGAGGCTTTGCTGATGTAGTAACTGTGGACTTCTTGTTTTGACACCAATATATGGGCCAGGGCTTACCATGTTAGAAAAATAGATGGGTGGTTTGATTTGTTTTGTGTTCTGCTGACACAAACCTTACGGCAGAGAAGAACATGCTTTGTAGTTATTAATTATCCAAATGTCATGGGCCTTGTAAAGCTTGATTGTTGTGAAGAATTCCCTAGTTTTAGCAAAATACTTTTGGAAGTGTATATTTAAAAAAAATTTTTTTTAATGTTTTTTTTTATTTTTGAGAGAGGAAGAAGAGACAAAGCACAAGTGGGGAAGGGGCAAAGAGAGAGGGAGACACAGAATGGGATACATGCTCCAGGCTCTGTGCTGACAGCAGAGACCCCAATGTGGGGACCGCTACTCATGAACTGCGAGATCCTGTCCTGAACCGAAGTCGAATGCTTAACTGACTGAGCCGCCCAGGTGCCCTGGAAATGTAGTATTTTTAATTAATAAGTCTGAGCATTTGATTTGCTCTTGTTGAGGAAGTGCTTTTTCTCAGTATAAGCAGTTAATCATTTGTTTTCCGGGACAGCTAAGAACCATGATTTCATCTAATATAAGAAGAACACTTTTCACATTTTAACATGTCTGAAATAAGATGGCATCATAGATTCAATAAGATATGGCAATCTTGATTCAACTAAGTAAACCTCAGGGACACTAAAGCAGAATAATATAAGTGCAGTATAAAATTATTTTGGAGCCATTAATAAGTTGGTACTGTGGTCTTAAAGGTTTTTAAGGTCTTAAAGGTCTTAAAGGTACTGTGGTCTTAAAGGTCTTAAAGCACAACAGTTTGGCAATATCTTTAAAACTTTGAATATTAATACCTTTTTTCCTGGAGATTCCACCTCTAGGAATTTATTTTACACAAACACCTACAAATCTGCACAAAGACGTATACGCAGACATTTGTTGTAATAGCGTTCATAATAATACAGTGGTTAAATAAGTTACAGCATGTCCACACAAAGGAATTCTATGAAAGTGGATTTTTTTTTTCAACGTTTATTTATTTTTGAGACAGAGAGAGACAGAGCATGAACAGGGGAGGGGCAGAGACAGAGGGAGACACAGAATCTGAAACAGGCTGCAGGCTCTGAGCGGTCAGCACAGAGCCCGATGCGGGGCTCGAACTCACGGACCGTGAGA